TCCCTGCCCAGGGCAGGGGGTGGAACGAGATGGTCTTCAAGGTCCCTTCCACCCTAAACCATTCTGTGATTCTACGGTTGGTCACTGCATCCCTGCCGCCACCGAGGACAGGGTGCTGGGACCATCACGGTGGTGGGTGACAGGACCAGACGTGTCACCTCCCGCCCCATCCAGGATGTTCGACGTGGGAGGGCAGAGATCGGAGCGCAAGAAGTGGATCCACTGCTTCGAGGGGGTGACCTGCATCATCTTCTGCGGGGCGCTGAGCGCCTACGACATGGTGCTGGTGGAGGACGACGAAGTGGTGGGTCGGGGTCCAGGAGGTGCCTCGGGAGAGAGGAACCGGGTGCTCTGGGGTGGGGGTCACAGAGGGAGGGGGACCTACACTCTGCCGGTTGGTGGTCTGGGTGCTGCGGGGAAGGGGTGGGAGATGCGGGATGGAGCTGGCTCCCACCCAGTTGCACCCAGTAAACGTCTCAGCACTTATTCTGGAACACGAGCAACCCAACGAAGCCGAAACGTGGGTTGTAGGGCTGTGGGTCTCCCCTCCCCGCGGCCCACGAGGAACCCCCTGGTTCCTCCGAGCGCCCACGGGTGAAGCGCTCCCAACACCGACCTCCTCCCGAGAGCCCCTGTCCCACCGGGGAACGCTCCCAGACGCCGGAAAACCACCCGGGCAAACCCGAAGGAGCCAAACCCGGCACGGGAGGGGAGGAAGAGATGCGAACCGGTCTCCATGAAGGAAAAAATCTCACCCGGAGGCACCTCTTGCCCGGCAGTGCCCCCCCAAAGTGGGGCAGAAAAGCAGCAATAAGGGGCGGCTTTCACCCCCCCGAGGGGGGAAGGATGGCACAAGGCCATCAGGCAAAGCCCTCCGGCTGCCCGGTGAGGGATGCTCCGGGGAAAAACAGCTTCGAGGGTGGAAGTTTGGAGAGGAGGAACGTGATGGCCCCCAAACGGGTCATTTCTCGGAGGAAATACGGGGTGACGACGAGCAGAGCAGGAGAAGCCGGTTGTCTTCTGCCCTACCTCAGGGACTGGGGTGAAGCATCACTGCCCGCGTCTCCGACACCGTCCGGTCCCATGGATGCTCCTTGGTGCTCCGGGGTCCAAACGCCTTCGCCGGGAGCCGGGCTGGGATCGGGATCCACCACCGCCGGGGTTCGCCAAGGCCGGGCAGGAGCAGGCGGGGGAAGGAGAGAGCATCTTTCCCATCGAAGCCCTCCGGAGAGGTTGTAACACTTCCCCCGTGCAGGATGGGGCAGGATTTGGCCAAAGCCATCCCTGCAGGTGCCCCGCTCGCCGAAGCTATACAGAAAAGCTGCTGCAATGGGAAGATGGATGAGGCAAAACCATCCCTGTCACCCCTGGAGAACCTGTCGGCTGCCAGATGACGGCGGAGGAGGTCCACTCTCCCTCAGTGGGGCAGCAGAAGCCCCCGGGGGCGGACGGAGCTGAGTCCTGCTGAGGATGCCCCTACAGCGAACTACAAACTGTACATCTGCCTTAAAACCGGAGCTCTTCCTTCTCCCCGCACCTTTCCGAAGCGGCGGGTAACGGCCGGGGGCCGCAGTCCAGCCAGAGCATCCCACAGCAGGGCCTGGATGACGGGGACGGCAGCTCGACGCCCTCACCCAGCGCTTTCCAGCAGCCGCGGAAGAGCCACGAAGTTTTCCCCGGATAATTTTCCCACCGTACGTCTTCGTTTCTCAACGCCCCAGAAGCAGCCAGGAGGAATCGGAGGGTGGCGCTGCCCCGGAGCTGCTTAAAGCCGTTCCCCATCCTGAGCATCACCCGGATTGCTCCGGGTCGCTCGCACCGTGGCACAGCGGGGGGATGTTTCGGATGGGGATGAGGGATGCTCGGTGCAGACGGGGGACCGGCAACGGCGCCGGTTGCTGATGTGGCAAACAGGAGCGTCCCCAGCAGCAGCGGGAAAAGCTCTCGTCTCGGGAACCGGAGAGGGTTTCGGGGGGCTGCAGTGGCCAAAAGGGGTTTATAAATGATTTACCAACCCGGAGCCCCCTTTGCTTGCAGAACCGCATGCACGAATCCCTGCACCTCTTCAACAGTATATGCAACCACAAGTTCTTCGCCGCCACGTCCATCATCCTCTTCCTCAACAAGAAGGACCTTTTCGAGGAAAAGATCAAGAAGGTCCATCTCAGCATCTGCTTCCCAGATTACGACGGTGAGTGGGTTCCTTCCCCCGCCTCGAGACACCCTCCTCACAC